CTTTCCTGCTCCTCTGATGCTGCCTGGCCTGCTGTGTTCCTCTAGCTCCACACTGTGTTATCTCTGACTCCAGCATCTGCAGTTCTTACAATCTCCTGCATTTATCCTGCCTATTCCTGATAGAATTTTATATTTTTTGTTGACTCACCCTTCATTCTTTTAAATTCCAGTAAATACAGTCTTAATTTGATCCAGTCTCTCTTCATAGGTTGGTCATTCCATCCCAGAAATCAGTCTGGTAAAGTTTCTTGCATTCCCTCCAAAGCCAGAGCATCATTCCTCAGATAAGGAGACCAAAAACTGCACACAACATTCCTAGTGCCATCTCACTAAGGGCCTGTATAATCACAACAAGAAATTCCTGCTCCTGTACTCAAAATTCTTCACTCTGAAGGCAAACATACCATTTGTTTTCTTCATCACCTCTTGCACCTGAATGTTTACTTTCAATGACTGATATATAAAGACAGCCAGGTCACATTTCATAGAAGAAGATGAAACATAGAAGATAGGAGCAGGAGGAGGCCATTTGGCCCTTCAAGTTTGCTCTGCTATTCTTCACGATCATGGCTAATCGTCATCTCCCTCTTTCCCATTGTATCATCATTCCAGTAAACTGCTTTCCTGTTTTTGCTACCAATGTGCAAAACCTCATAGTTTTACTTAATCCCAGACACTCAACTGGTCCAAATCACACTGAAGTATCCTCCTCACATTTCACCCTCCCACACATCTCTGTGTCTTCAGTGATCATGGAGATATTACATTTAGTTCCCTCATCTAAATCAACAAACATTGTTGTTATGAACCAGATATTGATGTTCTAATCATGAATTTAAAAATAATTACATATTAGATATAAACAACTCGGTTCAAATGAATCTCTTGAACAGCATAAAGAGTGGAGGGGCATTCTTAAGAGGAGGATCAGAAAGGCAAAGAAAGGATATGAGACAGCCTTGGCCAATAAGGTTAAGGATAATCCAAAGAGATTCTAAAAGTACATTAAGGGCAAGAGAGCAACTAGAAGGAATAGGACCCCTTAAAGATCAAAGAGGGCATCTTTGTGTTGGACCTCGGGTGATGGGAGAGATATTAAATGAATATTTTGTGTCAATTTTTACTGTGGGAAAGAAATGGTGGCTAGAAAACTCCAAGAAATAAATACCATCGATGTTTTGAAAACATTTCACATTACGGAGAAGAAGTGCTTGAAGAAAATACAATGGTGGATAAAGCTACAGGACCTAATCTAGTACCTCCTAGGACTTTGTGCCAATTTAGGGAGAAATTATGGGGCCTCTTGCAGAAATATTTCTCTCATCTATAACTACGGATGAGATACTGAATGACTGGAGAGTGTCTTTGTTTAAGAAGGGATGCAAAGAGAAGCTTCGAATCTACAGACCTGTGAGACTGACTTCGGTGGTGGGTAAGTTGTTGGAAATTATTCTGCAAGTTAGGATTTATATGCATTTGGAGAAGCAGGGAATGATTAGGGATATCAGCATGGTTTTGTGCGAGGGAAACTGTCTCACAAACTTGATTGAGTTTCATGTGGAAGTAACCAGGAAGATTGATTAAGGCAGACATTGTTTACTTGGACTTTAGTAATGCCTTTGACAAGGTTCTGCATGGAAGACTAATTAGTAAAGTTAGATTACATGGAATTCAGGGTGAGTTTGCCAGTTGGATACAAAATTGGCTTAACAGCAGGAGACAGAGTGACGGTGGAAGGGTTGTTTTTCGGACTGGAGGCCTGTTACCGCTGGGTCATAAAGTCTTCAAGTGATACAGCACAGAAACAAACCCTTCAGTCCAGCTCATCCTGATGGGACTGGACAGGCTAGATGCAGGAAGAATGTTCCCGATACTGGGGGAGTCCAGAACTAGGGGTCACAGTCTAAGAATAAGGGGTGAGCCATTCAGGACTGAGATGAGGAAGAATTTCTTCACTCAGAGAGTTGTGAACCTGTGGCATTCTCCACCACAGGAAGCTGTTGGAGCCAGTTCATCAGATATATTCAAGAGGGAGGTGGACATGGCCCTTGCAACTAATTCAGATTGCATGATCAACCATGATTGTACTGAATAGTGATGCAGGCTTGAAAGGCTGAATGGCCTACTCCAGCATTTAATTTTTTATGTTTTTACATCCTAAACTGATCTAGTCCCATTTACCAGAATTTGGCCCATATCCCTCTAAACCCTTTGTATTCATGTACCCATCCGAATGCCTTTAAAATGATGTAATTTTTCCCATCTCCATCAGTTCCTCTGGCAGCTCATTCCATACATGCACCATCCTCTGCATGAAAAAGTTGCTCTGCAGGCCCCTTTTAACTCATTCCTCTGTCACCTTAAGCCTACACCCTCTAGTTTTGGACTTCCCTACCCTGGAAAAAAGACCTTGACTATTCACCCTATCCATGACCCTCACGATTTCATAAACCTCTAAAGGTCAACCCTCAGCCTCCTATGGTCCAGGGAAAAAAGCCCCAGCCTATTCAGCCTCTCCCTATATCTAAACCCTCCAATCTGGCAATATGCTTGTAAATCTTTTCTGAACCCTTTAAAGTTTAACGACATCTTTCCGATAGCCAGAATTGGTCCTCGTGCCCTCTGTGGTCCTTACTCATTGACTGCTGTCACCTACCATCTCTTCTACTTCTATATCACTAGTAACTACAGTTCCATCCACGTCAAATCACACTCAGTCTCTGTTTGCTTCACTGCAGAATAAACTGCAATTGCCCTGAAGTGATATCTCACAGCATCCTGACTGACGTACCTGTGCTCTTGACCTGCAGCACTGACTGTGGACCAACCCCAGACTGTAAAGACACAAATTCTTGGACTCTGGTAGAAGCAAAGCCTTCAGTGAACAGACTATGCCCCTGGACTGGAAAAGAACAAGCCCCTTGACTGACTATCGCTCCTTGTTGGCACAAGCAATTGGTGAGCTGCAGCCGCCAGGTATTCACCCTGATTTCCACATTGGGAATTTGCACCATCTCATTTCTAGGATTGGATTACTGAAAGTAGTGTGTAAATTAGGTGAGTTAGACTGTCAAAATGATGTAAATATGGAAATAAATTCACCACCACTCAATAGCGATATTCTGAAGTCGTCATCTTAGGCTTATGGGAAGAAAAAACATTGGAAAGAACGTTATTTGACTTTGAGATTCTGACTTTTTCATTCTTGCTGTATTTTCTCAGCCTGTTCAATATTGTCCATATCTCACCAGGGATGGGAAAATTTCACTCATTGTGTTTCAATGATGTATTCAAATCATTTATTACATCTAAATCAACCACAACACCACTATTATACCATAACTGGCAGGACTAAATTATTGGAGGAAAGGTGTATTTCTGCATTGCCAGTTGTTGTGAAATTGTCAACCCCATTTTTAGCTGCCAAGGCTCTAAAATCTGGAATTCCTTCTTTAAACCTCTCCGACCTTCCACTTCCTCGTCCTCCTCCTCCTTCCAAGCACTCCTTAAAACCTATCTTTTACTGCCCTAATATCTGTTCAGGTGGTTAATGGTAATAATTTGTAGAATTTTCTTTTCTTAATGGCACTATTTAATGTGGGTTGTTTTTGTACAAGTTTATAAAACAACATATTTCTGATTTCCTCAGAATTAAACTTCAAAAGAAATCTCATTTTATTATAGTTTTCGTATTTCATGTATTTTATAAAAGTAAGACTTGAAACAGGACATTCAATCAACTGGCCGGTGATAATACTTATGCTTCACGACAGTACCTTCACATTGATCTTAATCCAATCCTATCAGGTAAAATATTCTCATCTTTTATCCATTATATGTTAATCATATCTATTTTCTCCCCTTCCTCCACCCCCCCACCCCATTAGTTCTGACTATGGTAATGAGGCACAAAAGCTCTTACCTGTTGTTATTCTTTGGAAATTGACTGGAATGGGATCTCTTGTGACTAGCACATCATCATCATTCTCTGAATTTGACACATAGGCACTGTCTGGATAATCATCCACTTTTGTTTGTCATTATAT